ATAATATTAAGCAATAGTCAAAGTTTAAAGTTTTTTTTACAATGAAAAAATATTCTCCTATTTATACTAATCCTCAAATAGGAGTCAAAAAGGAAATATAATTCTAATAATCTAACAAAATTCCTAAAATATTCATCCAATATGGTAGGAGTTTGATTAAGAATGAAATTTTAATAAAATAAGGAAAAACACGAAAAAAAGGAAAATCGTGCCCAGAAATGAACCATGCGGCCGCATGGTAATATAATTTTGGCCATTTGATTCTCGGTATCATGCTGTGCGGTCGCACCTTGCAGCCGCATGGTTACACTGCCCACTATCGTCTTCGGCTACTTGTAACGCATTGATCCATTTTGTTTCCGCCTTCAACCCGAACACGAAACTTGTCCCATTTTGAGTCCCGAACATGGTTCCATCAATAGTTTCTTGAACGAGCAATCCTATCACTTGTTTCACTTGCTTTGCCCTTGATCGCGTCATTGGTCCGCCATCAACTATCAACGGGTCTCATCTCGCACTTGCCTTCGTCGGGCTCGACTCCTAGATCATATCACCACTATAAGAAAAATGGCATTTGGCAACATATAAATGGCAACATTCACCAATTGTATGTTGCTAAAAGGGGTTTATTGCAACATTCAGCAAATGCATGTTGCCATTGGTTGAGAAAATGAAGATTTAGCAACATTTTTTGAGTGGTTGTTGCTAATACACCCTTTTGCAACGTTCAAAGGCCGTTGTTTTTTTTTTCGGCAACGTGCAATGCACGTTGCTGTAGATGTTTTAGCAACGTTCTTTGAACGTTGCCGTTAATTAGTTTCAGCAACGTTCATTGAACGTTGCCGTTAACAAGTTTTGGCAACGGGCAATGCACGTTGCTGTATATTTTTTAACAACGTTCACCGAACGATGCCGTTGGTTGGTTTTAGCAACGTTCATTGAACGTTGCGGTTAAGTGTCTTTGACAACGTTCTTTGAACGTTGTCGTTAATTTCTTAGTAGTGAATTCAACATTAAAATATAAATCATACAAAACTTGACCCGGACCCGACCCGCACCCTTTTAGTTTGTAAAAAACCCAAACCAGCCCTATAGTGTCTTCCCCGTCTCTCACTATCACTCCCTCTCCCGTCGCTCGCCGTTCTCACTCTCCCCCCTACTGTGAATCTCCCTGCCACCGTGAACTCTCTTCCAAACAGGTAATTGATGCTAGTTCATTCTATTGCCTCTCGTGTTCATGGATGACTTGATGATGGGAGGTTAGGGATGAGATATTTGCTTGCAAACTTGATACTTTTCGTGTCTTCCTATTTGTTCGGTCTGGTGATAGATTGTAAGAAAAGAAGATAATTATGTAGAAGACATTTGGTTTTAAAGTCCTCGATTTTAGACTAAGAATGAAGAACTGTTGGGGACTGATCGGTTCTTGGTTTCGATTCGAAAAAGTTTGATTCTAGTTAAAATTTTAACTTCTATGTGTACCCATTTCAAGTTAATAGTTTCATCTAGATTTTGGAGAATTTTATTGGATATCCAAATTATTTTCCCGATTGCTAATTTTGTTTCTTCTTTTGTCCATGCAGCAATTAGTGGTCTTGCCATTGCTCGTGATGGTGCTAGTGGTGGTGTTGTTTGGACTGTGACTATAAGTTAATTTTATTGTTTATGCATTATATACCCTCCACCTGGTGAATCCCCTGCAGTCTTTGACCAAGAAAGATTTATTGTTAGGCAAGAAAGATTTATTCTCCAAGTTAGCTTATTGGGACTTTTTCCTTCCAAAATATCCCTTGCAGAGACGTCCCTAGATTGAGGAAAAATGAAGTTTCTCTTAACTTGTGCATTTTTAAATAGGGAATAAGGAATGTGGTAGTGAAAAGAGAGCTAAAATTGAGTTGGTAGGTTGAATTTGGGCTGGAGAGTAATAGGTGGGGATTTGCACATAGACAAGACTATATTACATGAAGCAGAGCATGACTTATCGAGAATTTACCTTAGATCCAAGTTTTAACAACAAAAATTATTGATGACTTATCGGGAATGTTATTTTCTTTTAGCATGGCAGGGTGGATTAGAGTGATAAAAAATTGAGTGAATGCCTCTATATGTGCGTGTTAATTATGTCTTGCGTGTGTAAAAAATGTAGGCCTCAATTACAAAATGTAACAATGGATGAAGTTACTTCACGTGTTTTTACAAGTATGATACAAAAGTAACAATTAAATACACTAATGGAGGCAGAGAGCACTTGTCCCTCGAATTATAGGATTTTCTAATAACTTCTAAACAAATATAGTCAAAATTTAATTGAATAAACTCATTAGCCATTTGGTTTTTCTTTTGTATAATCTAGATATCTCTCTTTTCTCTTGAACTCTCAAGTAATTTCTGCATCCTGCATTCATGCTACTTGTGTACAAGTACATTGATAATGGCAATCTGGAGCAGTGGTTACATGGTGATGTGGGGCCGGTTAGCCCTCTCACTTGGGAGATCAGGATGAAAATTGCCATTGGAACAGCGAGAGGGTGAGACATTATGATGGAGTCTTATTCATCCACTAGAATCCTAGTTCATCTTGTGTGTAATTGATTACTTTCTAAAAAACTTGCTTGACGTCTATTTCTTGTCATTACAACTTGATATTTCATCCCTTTTATATTATTTTTCGCAGACAATATGTAATATTTGTTCTCGTAGCACAGTTCCAACATTCACACACTAAGTCAGCATGCTTTGGAATATGATGTATACACTTCGTTCGACCTGTAAAAGAATGAATACAGAATGTCTGACTAACGTTATTTTGCCTTCACAATGTTGTATTTGTTGCAATATATTTACACTCCATCGGGAAGCTCCAGAGATAGTGAAACATTTCAGTTTCTCAGCCTTGTTTGTGTCGGTGTAAAGGCTGATAATTTTGCTTTTCATTGTTCATTGATCTGTACTCTTCATCAATTTATTATAGTTAAAAATATCCTTGGTACTGGACTTAGCATACAACCTGGTTTGTTTGACTCTCAACCAAGTTAAGTGATTAGATATATGTCACATAAGATGACTACGATAGTCATTCACTATGAATAGCATTACACTTTAAAAAATTATTTTGTTAGAATTTTAGTATTTATAAGATATGGGTTTTACGAAGAGTGTAGTTGTGAATTTTACGAAACGTGTGGAGTAAAAGAATGTTTGTCGAGCTTAGATTATAATTTTAATCACTTGGAAAATATGTTATAGTTTTTTGCTTTTTTCTTTGTCCTTATTAACTCGTAAATGTGTGAAACTTGAGGGAAAATTACAGTCAAATCACTTTCTCAAGATCAAATCGATACTTGTCAATTAACCTAGCCTTCGCATTGTTATATGATTTTGTATTCATTTGATCATAGCTTGGTCCTAATTTTTTATTGAAATTTTTAGCATAAACTTGAGCAATCCACTCACCCGAAAAACATGACATACATTTTTTAAAACATTGTTTTATGTAAATTTATAAAAACTTTGGACATTAAACGAGTGTTGTTACAAATTTACAATTTAATTAATTCTAATCTAAATCCTTTGAAAGTTTTAAATTTTGGATCATCTATTTCTTACTGTAAGTTCATTAGTAATTTTAAAATCCCACTTTATTTGTTTAACATATCTTCACTGGGTGTCTTGGAATTATTATAGCAAGTCGGTCAAGTGAACAAGGGGCCATTTAGTTGATGATGATGCTGGACGAATAGCTGCCTATAATAGATCGAAGCATAGGGCTTTGTGATTGGCCTATAATAAACCGAAACAAGGGGCCATTTAGTTCACAATTTGAATTGTTGCTGTTCAATGTTTGATAGTATCATAATGGACAATGAGTGGCTGCAATTATCAAGGTTACTGTCTGAAACAAAATCTTATAAATCTAGTTTCAAAACTTAACAATAATATAAAATGATCATACAATTGCTGTTGTAGATTTTCAGAACAATACAGAGATGGAGCACGGAAGTTTGTAGAACTAGCTTGTGAAACTCTAAATTCAGAAATGATAGGATGCCCTTGTATCAAGTGTAGGAATCTAAAGCATCACAACTATGAAATAGTATATGAACATTTGATTATTAAGGGTATGGATCCTACGTACACTGATTGGGTATTTCATGGAGAAAAACCAAGTAAATCAAATTTGGTCGATGTAGAAATGCCTGAGTCATGTAGGATGTTTAGGGACTTCTATACGCAACATGATGCAGATTCTGAAAATCCTCATGATGGAACAGAGGAAGACATTCAACGTTTAGTTAACGATGTGGAAACTCCTTTGTATCCTAGTTGTATGGCGTTTACAAAGATGTTAGCTTCAGTTGCAATGTTTAAACATAAAGCTGCACATGGTTTATCAGATAATGGTTTCAATGAACTCATACATCTTGTGCGGGACATGTTACCACAAAATAATACACTTCCTAACTCATTTTATGAGATGAAAAAACTTGTCAATACATTTAATCTTGGCTATGAGAAGATATATGCTTGTTTGAATGATTGTTGTCTATATAAGAAGGAGCTTGAACATGTTGAATTATGTCCAAAATGTGGTTGCTCAAGATGGAAAGTTAACCAACAAACTAAGAAAGTTCAAAAAAAAATTCCAGCAAAAGTCTTACGTTATTTCCCTATCATACCAAGACTTAAGAGGATGTTTGGAATAGAAGAGATGGCAAAACAACTTAGATGGCACTCAAATAATAAGAGTTCAGATGGTAAAATGAGCATCCGGTTGATTCATTGGGATGGGAAATGATAAACAGAAGGTGGCCACATTTTGCGTTAGATCCTCGAAATATTAGATTGGGTCTTGCCACCGATGGATTCAATCCTTTCAAAAATCTTGCATGTCCTATTTGTCGTGAACATACATGTTCAGTATGGTTGTCACATTGTAGGAAGTTAGCATTCATGGGACATAGAAGATTTCTCCCATTGAGTCATCCATTTATCATGAAAAGGAGTTGGTTTGATGGACATATTGAAAATGGCATTAGGCCAAAGATAAAAACTGGTGAAGAAGATTCCTATGAAGTTGATCAAATTGCAAATGATTGGGGCAAAAGTGGTAAGTGAAAGAGAAAGAAGAACATGACTCAATCCAATGTAACGTGGAAGAAAAAGTCAATATTTTTCAGGCTACCATATTGGAAGGTAACTCTAGTTATATCATTTCCTTTTTTAATACATCTAACTGCGTTTAGTATCTCATGAAACAAGTGATGTTTGATTTGCAGACTTTACTTATACGGCATAATTTGGATGTGATGCACGTGGAAAAGAATATTTGTGAGAGCATCATTAGTACACTTTTGAATGTGAAAGGAAAATCGAAAGATGGTATTAACTGTCGTAAGGACTTGGAAGCTATGAACATTAGGCATGATCTACATCCTGAGAGTAGAGGAAATAAAGTTTACTTACCTGCAGCTCCTCACACTTTATCAAAAACAGAAAAAGAAATATTTTGCAAAAGGCTTGCTAACTTGAGATTACCGGATGGTTATGGTTCTAATATTGAAAATTGCATTTCAGTGGAAGAATGTAAGATAGTTGGACTCAAGTCTCATGATTGTCACCTTTTAATGCAATAATTACTATCAGTTGCACTGAGAGGACTTTTACCTAAAGGACCAAGGAACTCGTGTTCATTTTTCAATGAAATATGTCAAGGAGTCGTAGATAGGAATAAGGTTGAAATTTTAGAAGAGGATGTTGCTGAAACTTTGCGCATGTTGGAAAGGTATTTTCCCCCTTCCTTTTTTGATATAATGGTTCATTTAACAATTCATATTGGAAGAGAAGTTCGTCTATGTAGACCAATTCAATATCGTTGGATGTACCCATTTGAGAGGTAACACTCCTTATCCCCAGAAATTAAATCCACTATCAAATGATTTCTACTTTATTACTTTTTTGGAAAATGTGTAGGTATATGAAAGTGTTGAAAGGGTACGTTATGAATCGTGCAAGACCTGAAGGGTGCATAGCTGAACGATATATTGTTGAAGAAAATGCAATGTTTTGTAGCAAATACATAAAACAAGCATCTGAAATAGGCTCTAAGCCTGCACGCAATGAAGAGTATGAGAGTGACTTCTTAGTTGCAGGTCGTCCAATTTCCAAAGGGAAGTCACTTGTACTATCTAATGAGATGCTAAAAGTTGTCCATCGCTATGTATTGCTGAATAGTGTAGAAGTGGCTCCATATGTATAGTATATTTGTGAAGTATATACTTTTTGGGATTTTAAGTTCTTAGAGATTTCTTGATATATTGTTTTTTACTTAGGATGTATATGAGTGAACTCAGGAGTTCTGATAAACGACTTGGACGAAATGAGAATTTGTTGCATAAGAAACATGTTGACACGTTTGCCATTTGGTTGCACAATAAGGTTGAAGTACATATATCGACCAGATTAGCGTTTAATTCTGTTGTTTATTCTTTTATTCCTAACGTATTTATACTCATAACAGATTACGGGTCAATTGTCGCTGGACAATGTTTCAAATACTTTAAAGTGGCTTGCACGTGGCCCTAGATGTCAATCCATGTCATATTCCAGTTTTGTAATAAATGGATTTCGATTTCACACTAAAGATGCCGAAAACTCTCGCCAAAACAGTGGCATTTTAGTTGATGCAACAACCATCTGTAGATCTAGTGCAAAAGATAATGCACATGTTGTTGGAAAAGTTCTTTATTAGGGAGTTTTGCGTGATATTATAGTGCTTGACTATAATACATTTCATATTCCAATATTCAAGTGTGACTGGGCAAATATTGTGAATGGAATAAAGAAGGAAGATGGATTCACTTTGGTTAACCTTCACAAGGGACACGGACAATTTGAAAATGATGCTTTCATTTTGGCATCACAGGCGAAACAAGTTTTTTATTCTAGGGAGAATGAAACATCTAATTGGTATGTTGTTTTGCAAGCATCACCAAGAGACTTTCACACATTACATATGGAAGAAGATACTTCTTATGAGGCAACTATTCCATTGGATGTAACACAAATTGAAGACAATCATGTGGGGGATGAGAATTTTGCAAGGATAGATGTTGAAGGCATATTATGTGATATATAAATTGATTAGTTTGGTAAATATCGTTATACATATAACTGTTTAAATTACAAGTAGTAGAACTTTGAATATCATTCTCTTTCTCTTATTGTTTGCAGATTCGTACTTTCTCAAGTGGCTTTTTGGAACTAGGTGATATTATTAAATATACGCATGATGGATAAAGCTCAGGTGAGTGTGTTTCAATACACTTCTTAAGATGGTAACTTTCGAGAATAATTAACTTTATGCTATGTTTTCATGTTGCATTGTTTAAGTCAAATAAGCAAGCTTCCAAGAATTCTAAAAGACGAAGTGCTGCGATTGCTGTTGCAATTCGGAAGACAAATAAAAGACTATGACCTTCTAGTGAACCTAGAGATACCATGTCTACTCCAATTACTGGTGATCAAAACATGACTTCGACAAGTGTAGATGCTACAAAAAAGAAAAGAGGTCCAATTTTTTATATTGAGGTCGATATTTGAAAATGGTTGCTGAAAATAACTATCAGAAAATGGAGCTTGAATTCAATGAATTCGGGCAAGTAATTGGCCATAACTTTGATAAATTTATCAGCATAGCCGGAGCCATAGTGCGGGAGTACGTGCCAGTTATTATTAAAAATTGGCCTTCAGTGGATGACAGTAAAAAAATTGAACTTTGGAATTTTATACAGGTACATTTATTTAATATGATACTTTTTTTATTATTGGTTATACATTTTTCCTTCAAAGCTTGATTGCCATTTTCGATCATATATCGACCATTTTTTATATTTGTGATAATTGTAGCAAAGATTCAATGTCAATGTCTGCCATCAAAAAATGGCATTTCAATGTATGGGAACATATTGGAGGACATTCAAATCAAGATTGAGAAGAGATATCAAACGTCAAGTACCATCTGTCGTGAATAGAAAACGCGCTATTGCCCTTCTTAGACCGAAGAATATAACCTCAGAAGAAGCATGGGAGAAGATACTCTTTCCACTGATTTTCAAGTAAGTTATATTTTCGTATGAACTTTAAACTTTGTAGTCAATTATTGTTGGTTTATATTTTTTTCCTTGACAGGAAAAAAGTTCTAAGTTCAGCAAAATGAGAAGTAGTCAGAAGCTTCTCCATACTATGGGTCGGAAGGGTTATTCACGTATGGCTCACGATTTGGTACAAGAACTATCTTTCTTTATTTTTGATATGTGTCTTTATTGATTTCATATACGTGTTTGTGATTGAGTTCAATATTGTTATTGTAGAAAAGAAAGAATCCAAATATCACATGATTGAGAACGACAGTATGGACTCATGGACATCTTCGAAAGGATGGAAATCCAATAAATGAGGCGGTTGCTGAAACTTTGGTACGTGTATTGTGTATATATATATATACACACATACTAGAGAGTGTGTGTGTGTAGATCTAGTGTAATATTTAAGTTTCATAAGTCGAAGAAAAGGTTGAAGCACTTCTGAAGTTATCCCAGGTTATACTTTGCTATTACATAGAATATGATAGCGTAACTTAATATATCTTAACATTTCAATAAGTTTAATTTTTTTTGTATTATTTTGCAGAATCAAAATAAGAATGTAGAGGATATGAGTTCACATGCTTTTACTCCACATGTTTTTGTATTGTATATTATTTTTTCAATATAAATTCAGATTATATCATACTAGTTTTAAAAATAGACTTTATTTTAATGCGAATTTGTAGTCTCAACAAGGAAGTGGTATGGAGGGAGGTATTGCACCAGTGGAATATGGAAAGTGTCAACTATTGCACCAGTACTTGGTTGAGGAGGAAATTGTAGGCGAAGGGAAGATTGCATCAATAGACCCAAGTGCAAATGTGCATCATGTGCCACTAGGACGAGATTGTTGGAAGGTTTGGGTTGACGGGGTGTACATGAGTCATTTTCCCTTATATAGACCAACGGAAGAATTTCGAGTTCTTAGTGACGCCATAGGAAGTACTATTGTTTGGGCAAAGAGCTGCATTAGACTTATTTGACAAAGGTACTTTATAAATTTCTACATTTTTTTCATTTATGCATTTGTCATTAAACATGTTTCAAGAGTGGCTATATATGTGTGCATACACAAGTCTACAACCTTGAATGTGGAAGTTTGTTCATGGCATTACTAATGAGTGCACAATGGCTTCTCTTAAAAAAGAAATTGATCTTATTTTTAAAAATCAATCAAGTTTTAATTATGAGCTCGTATTCTTGAGTGTGTGATTCAATTTTTTCTTTAAATGACATAAATCTGCTGCTATATACATTGAATGAGTATAGACTTGTTATGTAAAAAGAATGAATATAGTTGTGTCTTAAAAAGCTTTAAATAACATTGTATTGTTTCTAAATTGCTTGCTCTTTTTGATTAATTTGTTGTTATATTCTTTCTTTCTTGCAGTTACATGGAGTTGAAGTGAGTTCGAAAATCTCTTTTGTGCTTGTATCGTCTTGGATCTCGTCTATGTAAAAAGATTTGGCTGGGACTCGTTAGAAGCTTCGGTCATGAATCGTTTACATAACTTTCAGACATTTTTCATAGTTCTTTGGTTAGATGGTGTATATTTTTGAATTGAAGTATTTATTATGTTTTGATGAAGTAATATTGCATATCGGATCATGTTTATTGGCTTAAATGAAGTACTTTTAATTTTTTGTTGGCTTAAAGTACTTGTGCGTAGATAGTAAAAATATGTTTTTAATTCACAGGTTTAATTGGCAGGAAAAATGTAAAATAATTTATCAGAAAAATAAAAATGACATTTGCGACAAACTCCAGTTTCGGCAACGTGCATTCGGCAACGTGAGCACGTTGCCGAAACTGGGTTTCAGCAATGTGCATTGCACGTTGTCGAAACTTGGTTTCAGCAACGTGCAATGCATGTTGCCGAAACTCTTCGCTCTATGGCAACGTCTCATTCCACAACAGACGCCTGAACGTTGCTGTAAGTCTACAATAACGTTTTCTGCCTGTTGCCAAAAGTGGTTTTTGGTGTAGTGGACATAACTTAAAAATCAAATTGTTCATCAAAAGTTCAATTAAACGAGTAGTAAAGTGAACATAAAAATCTGTATCTCATGATAATATCTATTTGATGTTTAATCATATTTGAATAAAGCAAACAATGATGGCAAGATTTTGATTAAACTAATATTAACTATGAAAAATAAAAGTAATTAAACGATCAAATATGCTTATCAATTTACAGTAGTTATTCCCTTTAATCTCATCTCTCAAGTTCAATTCATAAATTTTTACTCGATTAAATACACTAATTAAATCAAATACATCTATCAAGTTCAAATTAGTCATGTCTAGCTGAATCAACTCACTTTATCTTGACATTTTTGAGAATTTATTCCTCATAGAAATTCGATATACTTCTTAAAAGAAACTCTTCGAACTAGCATACTAATAGTTATCGAACTAAATCCAGTCATTAACTCGATTAAAATATCAATCGACGGTTACTAGTCCAACTTGATGGTAATGGGCCAATAAAATAACAAGTAGAGGTACATGATTCAAAACTTGGTTATTTCATCAAATTTCAAAGTAAATTCAAATAATTGGCCGATTTAGTCAAAACCGATTCATTGGGTCTCGATGGTAAGATTAGTCAGTGTTGCTACTAACATCACAACCAAGTTGACTAAGGATTATTATTTTCACAATTGAGGTCAAGCCTCAAGAGTTGAAAGATTAGTACCTATGTCCCCTCACTTCCTCAAAAAAAAAATAAAGAAAACCTCAACGAAACCAACAAGTGGCTCATTGTAGATTTTATATCCCGCAAGTATACGGATCATAACAAGTAAAATAAAGGACTTATGAGTTTGATTACATTCCTGTGAGGGCTTTGAATTCCTAATTTATTATTTCTAATTTTTATTTAAATAAGCATATAGTTTGTCAATTAAACGAGTAGTAAAGTGGACCTAAGAATGAAATATCTAACTATTCTAACTCATATTTGAATAAAACAAACGTTGATGCGAGATTTTGATTAAATTAATATTAACTAACAAAATAAAATAATTATCGAAATACCGCTATTACGAGGAATTGGATGAAAAAGCACGTTGCAAGATTCGAGGACGAATCTTCATCAGTCGGAGGAGAATTATAAAAAAAATTGATTTTTTTAATTATTTTTTAGTTAGTATTTTCTTTATTAGAAAATTCAAAATTCAATGTTAATTAGAACATTTAACTTCTACTGTTATCCAGGTGTTAATTGTTAATTAGAATTAGTCATTGATTAGAGTTAATCATTTAGTAAGATTATTTGTAATTAAGTTTTGTTTTTTTTAATTGTTATAGTAGCCTTAATGACAATGTGGTTATTTTTTGAATTTAAATAAAATATTAGTTATTGAAAATTTCTTCCATTTATCAGTCTTATACCAATATTCACTAGAATCGATGATTTTGTAGTCAAGATCTAGAATACGATATTCTTCCCCTCATGTAGACTGTGAGTGAAAAGAGGCAGGGGCTACTTGTGTAATATATGGTGGGCTATTTGTGTAATATATGAAGGGCTATTTTGGAAATATATATTCTACTTCAAATGTCATGAGAAAAATAACTTCAAAATATGCCAGCTTAGCATTGTGGACACAGTTATCTATGGCCAAATGTACACCTACCATTTTCATTTTTCTATTCACTTTTGTCTTTACCCTCTCTCTACGCCCTCTCTCCCTCTTTCCCAAAACTTCCATTCCTCTTTCTCTTTCTCACTTTCTTGCATTCTAAAAATCTACAATTTTGTTTCCTTTATTTGCCTATTTTCTTTGTGTGTTGTGTTGTAGTTCAAGAACAATTGGGCACTTGGATGTAAAACCAATTATTTGGGGCCCATGTAATATTAAAGAATTAATTAAAGGTGATTAATATTACTAAAATCCTATTGGCCCAACTGAAAAATGGTAGTTTTATAATTGTTTACTTTGATGGAAAGTTGAGAGTTTTATGACACAAATGAGACTGCCTCTCTCTGCCTATAAATTTGAATGAAACCCATCAATTAATTCATTCAATAAAAGAGAGGAAAAGTGAGAGAACGGTTTCTTTAATTTAACAGTTTATTATTTTGCAGATCTAAAATTCTCAATTATTGCCATGGATCAAGGTATGTTTCTTGATCAATTAAAATTTCGTATGTGAAAATCATGAATTCTAAAGATCTTGGTATTAGGGTTTAATTTCTTACTATGGTATCAGAGCCAAGTTGAAGAATTCTTGATTTTCCTTAAAGATTTACTGTTTTTCGTATGGGATCTTTAATTTCTTATTAATTTATGGATCAAATCATTACATCAAATCCCATTTGCTATCTACATCGATTAATTGGTTTTTCCATGGATCCGATTTGGGAAGACTATATCGTGTTCAAATCAATTGGCTTTTCCATGCATATGAGAGAAAGAGACAGCCCTTCAAAATCCATTATTTTGGCTATGTGTTCCTGTTTATCATTATTAATCATTCAAAGTTTAAATAAATAAATAATTAAAGGAGGGGCTGAAACGTGTAAAATTGAAATTGCAGAAACCAATTAATGCATGAAAACATTTGCAATACACATACTGTTTCTTTCTATAATCCCATGGCCTAATTAAACCCCATCCTTGGAAAATCAAATGAGGCTGACAATTTGTACCTAGAATGCCGTACTGTATGTATATGTTTCTGCCATATATGTTGAATTGTTTAAGAAAATGTCAATCCCTCGTATTGGTTTAAGGCATAACATTGGCTGAAGTTTATGCGTTTGTGTTCAATATCGGTAAAGTACATATATACTGACTATTTTTGGCAATTGGACATTTATTGTTTCACATTTTAATTTGAATTAGGAATTAAATTCGATTATGTCTAGTTTAATTACTTACATTATTCACATTATATTTTTGTAATTAATGTTCGATTGATGTTGTTTGTTAGTCACCAAAGTGGCCAAACATTATGGTATTTTGAACGCTAAATTACATAATTTATTTATCAATTACTCTTGATAATTTGATGCTTGTAAATGAAAATGACTTTATTATTGGTGTCAAAAGTATATTGACGTTCAAAGATTATAAAATTATTATGGATCGCCCAAAGGTTGATCAGTTAATTTTGTTAATCTTGAACATGATCGTGGTTAATTGATTTACTTGGTCGGATGTGTTTTGTATATCCAAAGATATCATACATGTTTGATTAGAGTATATTTAATTACCAATTAAGTGAAATTTAATT